GGGAGGAAGAGAGGTCAGGGTTTCAAGCCAAACTCTGTCCAAATGTGAGATCTACTCCCTCTAGTTTATGCCAGGTCTTTTTTAAGATTTGCTCATTGGACATGGCTTCAACCAAAGTTTAGGACATGACTACAACTAAGGACAGTCACGTATGTTATTTAGCCCTACCATTTTGAAAAAGCCTTTTTTAGTATTCAAAGATGGCTTTCATGGCTGCTAAAAATATCAAGTATTTATACAGGTTAATGAAGAATAAAAGTATTCAGTGTTGGATGGATTCTGGTGATTTACCAGCTGCTTATGTTATCGTTGGAGATCTATCAGCTGCAGCCCCCTTACTGCGTCCCAATAATATCACTTTTGTCTTCAGGCCAAATGTAATATATTAGCTCCACCATCTGAATACTCCATAGGAGTCAATGGCAAATTCACATGGGGAGACTGCCTTCATTCAGCCTGAAGCATGAGCGAACAGTTGTGTTGGAGCCCATAAAGTAAGAAAGCATCTGGCACATGTAGCCCAGCACTGGCTTATCAGTATTTAACAGAAACAATCCCACATTCTTTTTCAGTGGTTATTGAGACGTTTACATGAAATTAACTTTGTTACATTTTAGGGTGATGCTTGTACAGATTTGTAGATTTTTCCATATGTGGGCATCTGTGCAGCAAGCATCCATACCAAACAGCAGCTTTAAAATATTCATCACTTGGAGAGTATATTGTTTTCAGTAAAAAGACAATTCATGCCAAAGTGATGGAGTCTCTTTAAAGCCTTCCCCCTTCCCACCCTGCTGCTGCTCCTTTCTCCATTATAGCCACCTAGAGCGTCTGGATATGGGAGAACATGTGAACTCCGCCTATGATGCCTAGGCCTAACAGCCAATTGCCAAGAGCTGGTATTTTGCATTGACTGGGGTAGAGTATGGGGAAATGGGGGAGCACTGTAATGAGAAATCATTACATGTATTTTTAAATGAAAGCAGTGTAAAATCTTAAATTTAACGTTGTGTCAGCCTCATGTAAACCACTGTACAACAGAATTCTGACTGGGAGAAGGAGGGGTAGCAATGTGATCCAAACAGGTGTCCCGCATGCATGGGAATTCCAGGAGGAGTATATAAAGGATCAGGGACTAGGACTGGGAAAGTGTCATTAAATTTGAATATTGGCTGCTGATGTCATGGGACATCGCTGAGGAGATGTCATTTAGTGTTCATTATATCTGGATGCAGAGGTGAAAAATCAGGTCACCAGACTGGCTGTGCTTATCTCAGCACTAACTGGACAGAAGTAAAAATCCAGGTGAAACAGCTTCCATATTTATCCAGATTAAATCTGTATTCTGCTGTTTGCTTGGATTTCTGCTTTCAGTTGAACTCCGAGTTAGAGAATCCTGAAATCCAGGTATATATTTCTTAAAGGTAATTTACAGCTGCCTGAACCTTCCTTTTATATCCTCCTCCTGGAATCCCCTGCACAGCTGATTTAGACTGTAACCTAATCAAGTTCTACTGCTCAGTGTCAGTTTAACAGTAGATACTTACTGGCAGGAGGAAAGAGCAGGGCCCTAGACCAGGCCGTATTCCCCATCTACTGTGTAGTCGGCAGGCAGGTACATTTGTGCTGCCTAACAGGGATATCAGGATAACAAGGCTGACTGAGGAAAAAATAGAATTTTATCACTTTTACTTTCGCTTTTAAAAAAAAGTTGTATTCTGCAAAATGTTATCCTTGATTGCCATGAAGCTGACGAAAAATCTATCCAATTTTAGAGCTGTATCCCCATGTTATTTGCTGAACAGAATGTGCTGATCAGTACGTAGAACACACAGACCAGTTAAATAAGATAAACTAATAAAAGTAATAGTTGTGTTAGCTCCTGTCTACTGACCTCTCCTGCCTCAGCAGCAGGAAGTCTATCTGAAAATGTACTTGACCCTCAAAAATCCATCAAACTCTCTAACTACTTTTTGGATGGAGGTATAATAGCCAGAAAGTAAGTAAATTGTGACTTGGAAAAGAAAGGTGATGTCCCGTGTAAGCCATATGGCTGGAGGAAGTTTTGTGACTCAGAACTGTTGGCGTACTCATTTCGAACATCTATTCTGGAAGCCCAAATATTTCAGGTCATTATATCCTGAAATCTACCCATGCTTTCAGCTGCAAGTTAATATACAGGGGGGACCAAAGCTGACAGCGGTTATCTGTTTTGTTTGTTGGATAATGAAATTTGGTACTTAGTGTTTTTCCAGCCTAAACGTTTTTGTTGTTTTTTTAGTTGTATAGGGTGTAGAAGGGTTAGGACACTTAGATTGCAATAAAATCCTTACAAGGCTCCATTCACACATTCGGCTGTACGGATAGGCTCAGAGCCACTCCAAACAGAAAAAACAATGCACTTCAGTGTGCATTGTTCAGACTATTGCGGAGACCACGCCGTTTCGTACGTAATATAGTGTAAGCATGATAATCCGGTGGATTCCTCACATTCATGGCTATATAATCGTTGCAAATGAGCGGAATCCATGCAGTTGTTTCACATGTAGTGTTTGCGTTCTGCTCAGTCTTCCGCGCGGAAAACCGTGCGTGAAACGCAAATGCTATATGTGAATGGAGCCTAAGGCTCCTTTTCAAGAAATTTGCCTAACTCTCATGGCAACAACTGTTTAATCAGACAGGATGTGAGGGAAAATCGAGAGAGGGGTTCTCCTCTACTTTGCTAATAAAAACTTTCTGCTAGTATTGAGGTTGAAGGTTTTCCTTTACCTTCGTGTATGTTGTCAGTGGGGACAACACATGACAGGAAATCTCTCCAAGGGTATACAGGATAGAAGTAAAACCCTGCCATGGTTTCCTATCCCTCCTAATGCTGTTCAAAACAAAAATGAAATAATGATTTTTGCTCAGCATACGCTTTAAAGTAGACCTGTAGGCTGAGTACAAGTATTTTATTGTCTCTAATACTCAACAGGTACATGCACATTTTTTCTAATTTTTGAAGAGTTCCCAGGAGGTCATGTGGTCACCAGATGTCTCACCGTCTGCACCGAACCTCTTGCCCATCTTTGTGATTGGCGCTCCAAGTAGCCAACAAGGGTGGTGTGGTGTCAAGAGCTGGTAACAATTTGTATAACTGAGCACCCCAGGTACTCTTCAAGACATCAGAAAGCACTAAGGCCTTATTTACACAGGCAGGGACATGCATGCGATTATTTGCATTTATAGGACATTTCTAAATGCATACAAGTGAATTTAAGAATTGTAAGTGGTATTTATTGAACTCTGTGTGTTTACCTGGGTTCAGGTGCCCATGTGGATGAGACCTTGGAGGCACATGGAAGTGCCTTCTTTATATGGTGAGTGGCCATTGGATACTTTATGCAGCCCAATGGTTTGATTTAATGTAATCAGGATGAGTGATTGAGTGTGGATCTTTTGTTGGAGCCTAATGCCAGGATGTATATTTTGTTTGTTTGTTTTGAATTTGGTGGAGAAGATCTACTCTTTGTCAGGTTTTGATTTCTGTCTGTCATACAAGAAATGAGCGGGGTATGGCTGTTACTGAGCAACACAGTGGCGTGGTGGTTAGCATTGAGGGGTCCCCGCTTTAAATCCTGGTCAGGACACTATCCGCAAGGAGTTTTCATGTTTTCCCTGTGCTTGCGTGGGTTTCCTCCCACACTCTAAAGACATGCTGGTAGGTTAATTGGCTTCTGTCTAAATTGGCCCTTTATGTATGTGAGATGGGGAACTTAGACTGTAAGCGCCTTGAGGGCAGGGACTGATGTAAAGTGCTGCATAAAATTGACGGCGCTGTAGAACCACTTCATGCGGGTTTACGTAAATACACGTCATCCGCTTGAAGTGGTTATACCAAGAACATGGCTGCTTTCTGCCCAGCTTCCCCGGGCACTGCTGTCCCCCTTAACGGCCTGGGATTGGCACGGCGGGTCTACCCTGACAAATCGGAGGGAGATCAGAAGGCTCCTAGCCGCTGATCTCTTCTCCGACCGCTGTACCCAGAAGTGATTACATCACTTCTGGTGTCACTGTGCACATTCTCCGACTTCTAGAGCCAGTAGAGGAAGCTGGTGAAGCAGATCTTGGTGACATTGGGCGTCTAAAAGCCCCAGATGACTCCATAAAGAGGACCTGTCACATCCTATTTGCTATTCCGTGGACATGTTAGCCCCCTATGTGTTAGCAATAAAGTTGAGTGTAAAAAAAAGTAACAAAATAAATTATATTTGAAGTCTTCCGCCCCCTTGTACACGCACATACAATGCAAACACATGTCGGATAATTGTTGGAGGTTTTAAGCTGTTTTCTAGCCAAAAATGCTGATTTTATTGTGTGTGTGTGCAAATAGTAAGCAAGTGGATAAATACCTATAATAAATAAAATACTGGAACAGGGAGGCATGGACAGCAGTTAAAACATTGCTGTCCCCTCCCAATTCTATAAAAAATGTATTTTTGTTTTAGTCAGTGTCCTTGTTATATTTCCCATCACGTCCTGTCCTGACAGAAAGGGAGGGGATATCTCCCCAATGGAGACACAGATGGCAATAACAACCTGACAGAGGTGCCAAGACCTTTCTTGTTCCATTGAAACCAAAATAAAATGACCTGGCTGCAGTTGGGCCTTAACTTTTATTAGGTACAATGCTACGAGATACTGGTCGAGTCAGACTTCTGTAGAGGGAATTTATGCCAATTACTTTTTACTTTTCGGAATATACTTTGGCTGTTCACATTCCCTATATACACAAGATGGGCTCCCTGGTGTTATATTGGCTGCTGTTCAGTTACTGTCTTCAGTGGAGTTGACGTAACTAGTAGAAAGGTATCTACATTGATCCATGCCCCTGCACAGTGCATCTCTAATATCTCAGGACTACTTGTTTCTCTCAGTTCTGGGATAAAGTTCAGGTCTGATTTTTGTATAATGGGTCCACCACTGAAAAATGTCTTACCTTTTCTCATTTTCCTTCCTAGAAATACCTGCGGAACTTCTTCTCTGTGATGCTAAAGTCTCCTACATCTCCATTACACATTGATAAGGTCAGTTTGACCCTCTCCAAGCACACAATCTGCGAGTTCTCCCCCTTCTTCAAGAAAGGAGTCTTTGACTACAGCAGCCATGGAACTGGATAAGGACTTCTACCAGGAAGAGGAAAAAAAGTGCCTTTAATGTACAGACTGCAGATTATATGTATAAGTAGATAGAGCGACACAACTATTCTGCATCTCATGGCTAGAATGACAATACTGCACTTGTAGTTAGAACCAAACGATCACCATCTCAGCACAATACTGTTTATTTCCTCATTAGACTCGTCGTGTACAGAAGGTACAGATTCCTCTTTGATGATTAGTTAGGACAAAAACGATGGTTTGCTTTGCTAAGGATCATGGGAAATGCAGCTAATGAACAGCGATATTGCCTACCAATGTGTCATAAAACAGACCAGTTTGTTTGTTGAGTCTTAACATGTCTGCCATTCGGCGACATTTCTAACCTGTCCTTAGTTGCCTGATCTTTTAGATCAATATGAGAGTCATCGACCTGGAACAATACAGATTGGGATTTCTAACTTTGCGTCAGGGACTAGGACTGGGAAAGGGTCGATTAATTTAAATAACAGCTGCTGGTGTCATTGGACATGTGATAAGATTTGCTGAGGAGCTGTCATTTAGTGTTCATTATAGCTGGAAACGAAGTTAAAGCACAACTCCGGGCAATTCCTTTTTCTAATTTTGAATAGACTTGGGAAGAGTAAAATACGGTTTTATTGTCTTCCATGATCCACTTGGGTAGATTTCACCTCCCTTCCTCTCTCTGTGACAGCAGGACAAGAAGCAGAAAGAGACACGATAACACAGGCAGTAACAATTACCTGACAGATGTTCTAACCATCTCTCATTTTATTGAACAGAAGTATCACTGTCTGTCAGAGCATGGACAAATCTCCCCAGTGGGGACCCAAGACAGCTACGAAAGCCTGACAGAAGTTCTCTCACATTCCTAATGTTTCAACACTAAAACACAGTTTTGGCTGGTGGGCTTTAATCCTGAGAGCTTTCAGTTAAAGAAAACTGCCACATCTAAGTAAATGTCCATAAGTGAGGATCTCTGAATGCCACCATGTTTTTTACTAGACAAAAACAGTACATGTTCGAACATGTACCCGTCCTGAGCTCTGTAATGATATTGGATAGATTGGACATGTCAATAAGATGTTTGACCATTTTGGGCCTCAAACACAAACACCATATTCTCAGTTCAGTACACTAGACTTTTTTTAAATGAGCCCCAGTGTGACTAAATCTACTACTTATAAAAAGCTAAAGAAGAAGCTGGCATTCTCTGACTTCTGGCCTGCATGCTACAGTAGTTCACTGGGTTATTGAACTTGTATGCAACGAGGCTCAGGTCACCTAGTATGTGGCCAGGCAGTCAAAGAATGGATGCTTCCATCAGAGGATTCTGTTGGTTTTTGGAGGATTCCATAATGGATGATGTCCTTATCTCAAATGTGGCAGCAATAGTACTAAAATGTATTGGTCCCTGTGGGCCACTTCAACTCAAAAAGAACCAGTCACAATTGGTCAAGGATCTGAATATTCAGTCTTAAATTATTAGGGGGCTACCTATATAAAATTTGTATTACTTTGTCATATCATGAGAAGGCCGATTGCAACACTTTTGAAAAGGGGAAAACAACTACTTTCTGCAAAGTGAGCAATTAATACTCCTCTGCCCTGCTCCCTGCACCACCAAAACTCCACTGCAGTAAGGAAATAATCTTGCTGAAAGATCTTCAGCATCCGACACACCCAAAGTCTCCTACTGCACTCTGTGATTCCCTTTCACTGGTCCCTACATCACTACTATATCCTGTACTGATGTAGGGGTTGCTCGATGGAGAGAGGACATCAGCATCTGACATTCCTTGAAGTGTCAGCAACATTGCCTCTAGTTGGGTGGAAAAGGTAATAATTACATGCTTTGCCAGGAGCTGCTGTTTCCCCCTTTGAAAATCATGACAGGGTCACTTTAATTCTTTATAAATTATGAATATCTTTCAGCCTCAGTCACTTGTTTTTTGCAGACAACCAATGAGTAAAAAAAATAAAAAATTCCCCACAAATGATTACTTACCAAGTTTCCTATTACAGCATTTAAATAAGAAAGTCAGTGAAGGATTTGCTTTTCCTGTGCAGGTTGTATTGCCTTCACAATATTAAAATGTATGAACCTCGCTGTAATACCAAATCATGATTTTTCCCATTTAGGTTTATTTATACAGTATACTGGCCCTTCCCAGCCCGTCTCTTTCCATGGCACTAAACTATATAGATCTCTTTAAGTAATGAAATGCAGCCTAGCAATATTCTTCACCAAATCAGAAAATAACAAGCCACTAAATGTGCTTTTAACTACGCTGTAACCAGTGAAAGCAAATATATATACAAAGCTGTAAAAATTATAAGATGCACTCAAGCATATCTAGCGTAGGTGTCAAAGCTATATAGAGGCTAGTTAGGCACTACTGATGCTGATAAAAGAAACCTGTACGGAGAGTATATGAAGTTCACCATAACCGAAAAGGATAGCTGCCTTGCTGCCTTTGGCTTCATTACTTTTGAGTCACTGACCTGGAAAGTCAGAATTAAGTAAAAACTCTTATTCCTTATACTAGTTCCAGGTCATTGACTTTGCATTGAAACAATTTGATGAATGGATCATCTTGACACTCAGGGAACTGTCCTGAGAGAAATACATGGATGTTGTTACTTCTGAAAATGCTAGTTGCCCGGTTGTCATGCTGATCTAATGGCCTTAGCATTTGGTATCACTGACATTAAGTTTGGAAGCAAAACAGTCAGCAGGAATGTCGGCAAGCTAGCAGTTTCAGAAGTAGCCAGCAATAGCAGCTTCCATTCATCCTCACTACAGATTTTCTTTAAAGTGACTTTCTTGCTAAAATCAAACTGCCTTATGTGCTTCCTGCAAAGAATATAATTATTGTTCACCTCTCTTATTGCCCGTGTATTTGATTGCTGCTGTATTGCAAAGAAACTGTTGCCTAAAACAATCTTCAGAATCCGAGCATTGATTTCCTGGTCCTCAACCACGCTTACCAACAGCTACATAACTATTGTGCTCTATAGTGAATTAGAGGTCAGCGGGCAGCACCACAAAGGTCCACAAGTGTCAGATTCTGAAGGTTCTTCAAGAGGCGGGTTCTCTGCAGTACAGCAGTAACTGAGTGCGCGAGGTAGCTATTATCATCTTTGCAGGGGGCACATTATTTGGCAGTTTTATGGAGCTGCAGACCCTCATGCCGATATGGTACTCTACACATACATCAATTTTTAAGTCCACATCTGTGTTCCCAAGATAACTGTTCCCTGTAACCAGGACTGCAAAGATGTGACCATTGACCAACAGATTTGGACACGGAATGCAGCAAGATGTTTGCTATGTAAGCAATGTTATTATTGAGCTGCTGGCAGATCCCAAATATTGCCATTTATTTCTGAGTGTAGATACAGAGATGTATACTGCTGGGTGATTAACATAATCCAAAATAAGACACCTTTATTAAGTTTAACTGGTATATTAATGTTAACTCTAGAAGATAATTATGTGGAAAATAAAACTTTGGTATTATGAAATATTGACAGTTGGGGGTAACACTGGTCCAGCAAGAGCCGGCAGTCCCCTGGACATATTTATTTTAACGACTTATATTGTAAAGCATAAAGCAATCCCAAATATAAAATCTCCACCTTATATTAAAAAATGTCCATTCTTGTAAGTGTCTTTTTATTAAATATATGATATACCGTACATTGTTAGATCTTCCAGCTGTGCTTTTCATTCAAGTCAAGCCATGCCACATATACACTGGTGTATTGAAGTTTAGGGCTTTTACTTTGTGTTTCAAGTACAGTCCCTCACACACTATTGTGAATGAAGTGATGCTCAACATTTCTATCATGTCATAAGAATTTGTAGTGGCATGATCTCAGCAGCCATTGCTGAATTATAGCAGCAGCTCCTTACAGTTCTGAGATACTCCCTAAAGATGGTGATGTGCAAGCCCTGCCTCTAAACTTGACCAAGTGCAAACCCATCCTTTAAACTTGGCCAAATCCAAGCCCAGCCTCTAAACTTGGCCAAGTGCAAACCTAGCTTCTAAACTTGGCCAAGTGAATCCCCTGCTCTATGATTCTAAACATGACCAAGTGCAATCCCTGTCACTATATTTGGCCATGTGCTTGCCCCTCCACTATACTTGGTCATGTTTAGATGTTGGACTTGCACATGGTCAAGTGCAATCCCCATGACTACATTTGGCCATGTGCTAGCCCCGCCACTATTCGTGGCCATATGCAAGTCCAGCCTCAAGCCTTTAAACTTTGCTTTTTGCAAGCCCAGACTCTAAATTTGACAAAGTGTAAGCCCAGCCTCAAGCTTCTAAACTTGACCATGCATAAGCCTTGCTTCTGTTTACCGAGTGTCTGACACACATTGACAGCTGTGTTGTGACATACGTGGAAGACAGCACTCAGAACTGGTTTTCCTAACAACTATAGTGCATAGCACTGGTATTTTTGTTATCTATGGATTTGGCATATATGAGTAGAGAGAAGCATCTATGGTCATTTATTTTTAAATAAATGCAGGAAATAAAAGCGTCCAAGGTGCCCTCTGCAATTGGATTCAAGTCATGTTTTAGGATCGGAGGAAAAAAAGAAAATTAAACATCTTACTGGTTGCTTTGGGCAGCATAACACTTCTATTACTTTGCTTAGCTAGAAAGTGAGTCCTGAAAAAAGGCAAAAAAAAAGCCTCAAGCCATTACATTTGTTATTTGAAGATGGAATGCCCCTTTAAGTCTAGTTATTTATTCCCTTAGCACATTTTCAAATTCTGTATAAATTGAATAAAGCACAGATTGTTCTTCCAGACACTGGATTGTCTAATCGTATCATCGCTACATTCATTTACACATAGTAGCACTTAATGTGATAATCATTAAAGGACTTTCAGTTGTATACATCTGTGTTGTATGTGTTTTATACATCTGAAATGTTTGCGCACAATCATGCTATGTAGATTTGCAGCTTTTCTATAGGTTTTATATACATATGAAGAAAGATTTTGATTACGCTTTTGTTATGTTACCTCAAATCCTA